TAAATGCATGAAATACCAAAATTACCGGATTTTCGATGCCGTCATTCGCGATTTCGTTTGTAAAGCATAAAACATTTGGAATTGTGTTCTTCGTACCACCCAAAAATTATTAAATATCCTACAATTATACACAATAATATTGATTTAAATATATCATATATTTAGGATTGTATGTTCCGAATGAAGGTAAATTCACTATTTTGAAAATGCGATAAATCGATATTTAAATGAATGTGATATAGACGACGCCAAATCAACAAGCGCCAGTTTAAAAGAAAAAGCATATGATCATGATTGTAGTAAATGCACTCGTTGTCAAGAAAACATCGTTAAAATGAATGTACTATCGCTATCAACCTTATATAGCTGAATTATCTAGCGAAAAATAAGGATATCGACAGTCTAACAAAGGAAAGCATGAAAATTAGAAGGTATTTCCAAATGGATCCCTTTTGAAAAATTTACGAATGTTGAATATCTTGCAAAAGGCATTTATAAAGCATCTTTATATCTTACAAGTGGGATCATGAAGAAAATACATGTAAATTTAAACAATCTAATGACGATAAACGCGAAGTTGTGTTTAAATTACAGTACGTGATCCAAAGCAAATTATAAAAGAGGTAGAAGTTGAACAATTTTTAAAATGTAAACAATACATTTTTTAATATAATTAAACAATTCAACAATAGGTTCGGACTGTTCTAAGGCATAGTGATCATTACTTTGGAATAAGTTATTATGGAATAACTAAAAACCCAACTATGAATGAGTACTCGATAGTACAGTAATGGGTTATCCAAAAAAATATAAAATGAATTCGATATTCACAAATATCTTATTTCCAATTACAAAGAATTGACTTGGGAAGAAAAATTAAGATATTTTACTGTATGTTACCTATGCGCTAATGGGAATTCACGAAAAGGAATTTGTGGATAATGGATTTCACCCAGGAAATATATTATTACATATTGATGCATTCATTACGGTTTTTAGTCTTACCGGCCCAATAGATTTAAAGATCGAGAAATTTACGGAATATTTCCTTATACGAGTCCAGAAATACTAAGTGGAAAGCCATACATTAAGGCTGCAAATATTTATAGCTTTGGGAATGGTAATGTACGAGATAGTAACTGGTAGACTGCCATTCTGTAAACGAAGTCATGAGTAAGATCTCGTATGCGACATTTATCAAGGAGTGCGTCCCACGATATCAAATAATGAGCCTGCCTGGATGGTGCAAATTAATTATTGAAAAATGTTGGGACCCTATTCCAGAAAACAGACCAACTGTTGAGGAATTTAAAAGCTTTATCAATTCTATCAACTCCCGATGATGAAGTTAATTGGAAACTGAATTCTTTACATTTACAGTATTGCAGCTCTTTAGAAGATCCTAAAATAAATAAAGGAATTGAAGATTGTGTTAAACTAGAAAAGCAAAAAATTAGTTGAACTTGATAAAAATAAGAAAAATGAGAAAAATTGATTCCTATTAATTCGAAGAAGTGGATTCTTTTAAATATGAACAAAAACAAATGCAATTTACACCAGTCGAATGTTTACCATGAATTTTTTTAATCCCAACGCTTACTGGTACCGTAATGTCTATTATTAAATATCAATAGTAACATTTCATTTTAATTAAAAAATTGAATCGAATATTTAGTGCTTACAAGTGTCCGTTTGTTTGTTTCATACAAAGGTAAAAAATACCTTAACATTTCTATTAATGTCAATGTAAGTTTTTAATTTAACCTCTTTTCTTTGGTGATGCAAAACAGATCTGGCGAATGTCGAATGACTTGCAAAAACATCAGGAATCAATATGCATCACGATGTACAGTACATGTACCATTCACCGAATACATGTAAATGTATCTATTTACGTATATCTCGGAGTTATATTGTATCAACCGTATTTTCGCGAAATAAAGCTCATCTGCGCGTTATTTTGAGACAAAGGGTCGATTTTCTGTTTTAAAAAATTTTCGTAGTCTGTCTAATTGGACTGGGCCTGATCGAAGTCGAATTTATAAGATCCATTACAACATATCATTCAATCAAAAGTTTATACTTCTTATATGTAATATACTTGATATTTTTATTAGAAAATTTATTATTTAAAAAAAACAACAAAAGTCAATAATTCTCTTTCATCAATTCTTAACCTAACTATTATTGTTTATATTGTTTTCTGATCAATGAAAACTTGCAAAAATGATAAATTCAGAATTTATAAAATATTTTTGTATAGAAAAATTACAAAGTTATAATTATATTCGTACAGTTACCATCATAAATAACTGGATCTTACTCATTCAGCTTATGGGCTTTACAAGCATGTTTATTTACAAAAATTCAATCATGAATATGAAATGCGTATAATAGGAAAAGATTTTTTTTATTGAGTGCTGAAATTTTTATGAGAATCAGATTTAAAACAAAATACAGATGACATTTCAAGTAAATATCAGTTTTGGAGAGTTACTTATCTGCCAAAGAACAAGTTAGAGTTGTTTGTCGATCAGCAAGTGGGTTTTTTGTCCATTTGTATATAAACTATCCTTAAAATTTTCCTTAAAATTTGGTTTCATATGGTAGACGTGGTCATTTTTTATATATATTTTGTATCACGTTCGACTCTCGTTATTTATGGTGGTAACTGTACTCTCAAATTTTTTAATATTAGCTATGTCATAAAATTAAGTAGAAAGAAGCGCTGGAATGTGAAGCAAATTTACATTCCTAATGATTATAATTCATTAAAGTTCCTTCCATTAGCATTTTTTCATAAAAACTAATTATATATATGTCAGGTGTAAATTCTCTATCTTGTATAAAATTATTTATGCCCGTGAAAATTTAGCCAGTTTGTTAAACATGAAGCTCGATTTGCTAGATTTTCTGATATTGATTTTTGTTAGACGTGTTTAGCACATGTTATGAGCTGTAGATGTATAAATGCTAAATGCAAATAACTACTCATTTATATGATAACGTTGATTCGAGTTCAAGTCAATTAAATTCATTTATTCAAAATGATTTTGATAAAAAGGCATTATAAAGATACCTAGCTGAGGGTTACAGCCATAGACATTGGGTTGCGGCTTAGAGTAGTAATTCAATTGCGGTCATTTTTAATTTCAATAGATATCTTTAACTTGAAAACAATTATTGATCCACATTATTTTTATTGAAAGTGTTTTTTATCTTTCCGTTCACCAACATAATTGCTATATTAATCCACTTATTCCTTTGCTAAGCTTCAGAACTTTGTACAGAAATTCTTTTGCATTTTTTAGTTCGAATATCTTGCGAAAATTCAATGGCAGCAGCGCTTTTCTGTTGAATCTGCAAGATTAAAATTCGGGAAAGGTTCTTGAAGGTAGAATCATGCAAACGTCAGTTTCTGGAAGCGTTGATTTATCGGTTTCATTGGAACAAGCAAATCAAATTAAATCAATGCATCGTTCAAAGAACTAGTTCATTACTTTCATAAAACATGTATTCTGTTGATTTTCGATAACAATTTGGTATTATGTTTATAAAGATTTGATGCTTGGAATGTGAGTGACAGTTGGGAATATTGAAGCAGGAAAAGAATTCCTACAAGTACAACTCAAATACAATTTACATTATTCAAACCTTTTTTAGAGTAGCCACATGAAATCAAAGTATAGGTAAAATACAAGAAAATAATAGCAATTTCGCTAACAAATAAAACGTACAGGATTATACTAAATTTACTCTTTGCATACATTTTTTATGTACAAGTATGTACAACGCACATTATAATACTTTGTCAAATAAATATTTCGCCGCGCGTATTCGAAAGACTCATTACAGCATTATATTATACATTTATTTAGTGATATAGTGATATACTGTATATACTGTATTATTATGTTTATGTTTTGAGGAAGGTTAATTATAATACGACCTTTGATAATTGACTAAATACGTGTAATTTGTTATTTTAAGATTACGAGCCACAATGATGGGTCATTTTTCTATTATTAAGCCCTAATGTTTTTAATGTAAATAAACTAATAAAACCGAAAAAAATATTAGAAGAATCAAATTAATGTGTAACCCACGCGGAATATCGTTTTTACATGTACAAGTACATCTACATGGTTTTCTATTGTCGTAACGTGAACTAAATTTGTGACTGAATGATACGTATTTGGTCACATTTCATATTCTCATTTACCGCTACAGAGTGTATCACGCCAACTAACCTGTATATGGTTTAATAATAAGAGCAGCAAATAAATATTTTGGCTTTACGGCGCAAAGATAAAAAGTATGGTTTGACCGGGACGAAATCCCTGACTCATCAACTCCGATTCAGTAAAGCATAATTTTGGATGGATAATGTATCGTGCAGTTTTTATAGAAGTTTCCTGTACATGTATATGTTTCTGACACAATCATATAGCGATCCAAATACAATGCATGCATGTATTTACGGTGTTACAAGTCCAAAAGGAGTAGTAGCATAAACGATACATGTACAGTACATGTATATATATGTACAATAGATGATTCCCCATCCACCAAATCATTCGATGTCACATTGATTTTTCTCAAAGGTATTTCTTTAAAGTCGTCGTAGAATACCATTCAGCGGCCCGGTAGTTTATTATACATAGTATTGATAACGAAAAAGTATATAAACTTGTTCTGGTTAAAGAAGTTTATTTTTTCCTTGTCTTTGAACCATCCAATATATATTATTATCCTTTTACGCATTTGCGTAATTAATTATACATTCTATTAAAAACCACCGCAAGTTCGAATAGCAAAGAATTTATCCTCTTGCTCTCACTTTATTTCAACACGAATATACACTTTCTCCTTATTCCTTCTACCTTTCTTGCCGCCTAAACGTTCCTAGTTTGTATACACTTGCGATAATCTTTTTATTTTTTAAAAAATTCCATTAATTATCTAAGGTCTCGTTTTCGAGTAATAAAATCAAGATAAAAATGGCTACCTACAGAATCAGGTAATTCATTATTCCTTTACTTCTTAAATTATTTCGCACATTGGCACTAATCATAAACTTTACCAATCTGTTAGTAATCCAAATCAATATTTGGTGCGCACTGGCGCATTCATTGATGATTTGAAATTGAGCAAGAAAGGATGGGTATTACTCGGTCAACGGCATTCATTCTTCGATATTACCCCCATAAACTATACATTGGACCTTCAGGCAATGAGTGCTGAAAAACTGGAATTCAATTTGCCTGCCGTATTTACCATTGGCCCAAAAGATGACCCAGACTGTCTATTGAGATATGCTAGATTATTGGTAAATTTTTTACGCGCGCAACTCATCTATTTCAAAACAAACATTACCATATTGATTATATACATATCTAGGCTACAAAAGAAAAAAAATCTGACCATGTTCGAGATATCGTTCGTGGTATTATCGAGGTTAGTTAGCAATCATTTTATTCTTACGAGCATAATTTATTTTCATTAAACTTACATTCTTCGGGGTGATGAATATAGGGTGAAACTCGAGTGATAGCGGCTGGTATGACTATGGAAGAAATTTTCCAGGAACGCAAAGGTTTTAAAGATCAAGGTTTGTTTTATTTACCCCGCTCTTTTAGGATTTTATAGAATTGAAATACCTCGAAATTTAACGATTTTTCTTTGCGTCATCGTAGTAATTAAAAATGTACAAGCTGAGCTTGATCAATTTGGCTTGT